AATTATTTAAAAACTCCTATTTGACCTGAAATGACTTTTGGAGGAATTTTTGAAGAGTTTCTTTTGCCTTTTATTGTTGGGACAGTTCCTTTTTTATTTTTAACACAGCAAAAAAAAAAAAAAAAAGCCAGCCACGTAAGCTCATCTCACCCCAGCCTTCCAAAATTTCTGAAACGAATCTGATTCAAAACATCCGCTCAACGAATTCACAACAAAATCAAGACTCCCAAAGAGGCGTGGATGTAGAAACCCGGATTCACCCCCTTGCACCGTTCTCTCGGAGCGAAGCCGCGCGGAGCAGCGGAGCCAAGCAAAGCGGCCGCTGGTGCCAGCGCGGGGTGTGCTCCTGCTGGCGCCTCCGGCCCTCCCGCCCTCTCGGCCCCAAAGGTTCGGCTCTAGCAGGAATTCCCCCCGCTCAGTTCACGGGTTGGAGAGCCGAGTCGCGCCACAGCAAAGCCCAGGCAGCACCCAGGACATCCAGCGTGGGACTGCGGGGTCAGGAGCTGCGGGAGAAAGAGCTCCTCGCCGCTGCGGTGGTACGCTGTGAGACCAGACCAAAGTGTACCCACGCAGTTTCATGTTTAGTCAGAAAGGAAAAAGATCTAGCTAAATATGCTCTCAGTTCTCACTATCACTTTATGATGTTTGCCACAAAAATATCCACGCTTTTCTTCCCAAGCACCGTACTAGGTGAAGCGTTCTGCAAAATATGAAGTCTTTCTAATGAAATCTGGACTTACCTACGTCAAGAAAGGTCACTACCATTGCAGATTTATCTGGACAAACATAATAATAAAAGAAAACCTTGGAAATGCATTTGGCAAAACTATATGTAAGGTATGAGATGACTATGGAATAACACAGACTGTATTAGCTGCCATGGCTTAATGTGTATGCAAATACTCATATACCATTATTACCATTTCAATTATAAAAGCAGGAAACAACTATACAAATATATTTAATTAATAAAATATATTTGTATACATATGTAAAAATAAAAATATACAAAAGTAATTTAATCTCATGCAAAACTTTCATATTTACCACGTGTATTTTAAGGGCCTCTATGTAATGCTGATGCTGCACTGAAAATCAGGTTCCTAAATTTCTGTCCTTTAACTGTCTTAAGAAACTGAAAATATTGACAAGACTAAAAATTCCTTATGTTAAAATTTACATAAATTTTCTGATTTCTGTGAATATGAAATCAACTAACATTAAATAGCATTTATATCCTAAAAAGGTAAACAGTGTCTGGATGCTGCGTTATCACTGACACGAACCCCGGTGCCCGCTGCAGCACCGCACGGGATGGCACAGCTTATGGCAGGGACAGTACCAGCTCACCCGGGAACTCAAAGTCGCGTCCTGCTGTCCTTCCTCCACAGCACCAGGACAGACTGACCGGCCTTGGTAGTGAGCTGACCAAACGCGTGCTTACTCGGGCACCTGAGGAAAGAAGCTGTATCCTAATTAGAGACTTGAGCACGTCTACGACGCTGAGATGCAGCAGTTACTTCGTGGACATTTTATTCCATAATTATGCCGAGAAATAAAGAAAAAAAACCAAGATAAATGAAGAATCTGCATTAAAAATGCATATAGATCTTTTAATGTTACATATTTGCCCTAGACTTACATGTATTATAATATTCATAATGAACAAAATCAAGGAATTCATGTTAAAAACTACATTGTCAAAATGAATTCTCCAGAGTTTGACCTCTTTGTGCATTTCTACTTTATGTAACGTGTATTCTTCCAGTATTTGGACACTACCCAACCTAAATCAAGTATTTCTCCTTTTGCTTCGAGGACACTGCACTCCAAACCTGTAGTTTTAACCAAAAACCAGAACCCAGACCAAAAAGAACCGCACAGGTTACAGCCAGCCTACGAGGTCCGAAGGTGGTGGGGATGAATTGCTTAATCCACCATCCCAGCGCAAAGTTTTAATTTGAGCTGATGTCAGGTTATAACTTTGAAATAGTCGTCGATTTTTTGTAGAAGAAAAACCCAAGCTAAACTGCAATCGGTACGATCTTGGCAGGCAAAGAGCTCTGTCTCCTGCAGCTTCCACAAGCGCCCATCACATTCACAGGGAGCCACCTGGCTTTCACACCGTCCTTCGGTGCCTGGTAGAGCATTTTCCATCTAACTTTCAACAAAAATGTGTTTTCTCGCAAATAAAGCTAATCCCTTCCTTCCCACAGGAGATACCAAGAATAACTGATGAACGTTTTTTGTTGTAGCCATCTTTTAGGTATTCGAAGGCAGAGTTCCTTCCTCAGACTTCTTTTATTCTAGACCAGGAATACTCAGTCCCCTGTAGTTTTTTTCTTGCATGCAATGTTAGCTACTGTTCCCATTTACGGGAGTTTGCCCACCTATTTCTTAAAATGCGGTGCCCAAAAATCACTGGCACTTGATAGAATAATTACTTTCACATCTTATATAAAAAATTCCTGCTAACCCTTAGATGAGTTTGTCTTTTTGCAGTCGCATCAAGCTGCTCACCTCTGTGCAACCAGATGCTTTTCCCCCCTCACTGCACCGTGCCAGATGGGGGAACACTTTGTTTCCAGACACTTCATCTTCCCTCAAGTTCCGCATTTCCCTGCTGCTTTGGGATCGCCTGTACTACCTGCCCCGTCACTCCGACTTCCAAGCACTGCCTGACCATGCAGTACCACCTGCAGACCTTGGACTGACTCTGTCTTCCATCAAACACATCAATGGCTGTTCTGAAGCAGGACCATGACATAACATCACAAACGGTGCTGGAAAACTCTTCTTAGATATTTTCCCCTCTCCAATTTTCTGTAACAGTGTCTTCGCCGTATTTCCTCAGCATATATTCAGTAATTCACTTAAAGTCATACAGCCGAACACGATGGGAGAATTATCGTGCTACAGCTCTGCCTCAGTTCTGCGCTCGGATCGCTGAACAACACGTTTCCCTGCAGCGTCAGAGCGTAAACCCACATCTGCAAAAGGAGAAACTACACCGGCCTAAATTATCCATGACCTCATTTTTAAAGCATAACTGCATCTGCCTTCGCTCTCCCGGACAATGCCAGCTTTCATCGCTCGTCAGCCAAGGTCTCCCGCAAGCACCTTTGGCACTGTTACCTCCCTCCCCGGCCAAGGGAAAAACACCTATGACCATTTCCACCGAGCTATCGCTACAGCCGCCCGGCCCCTCCTGCCGCTCGCAGCCCACGGTGCCAACCTGACGGCTCGCTGGCTCACGCGCAGAGGCGAG